ATGATGATGATGATGATGATGATGATGATGATGATGATGATGATGATTATGATCAAATCATCACCTCTCCTACGCCCTTACTTTCATAACTCCGCTTCTCCATGTCATGATTTTCTCAACTGTAACTTACTGATCTTATCCATCTCGTAAAACGGAGATAACACCTCAATCCCGCCTCCGAGAGAGGAATGTTCTTGGAGATAGCACCCGTTGGCTTGTGCGCCAGGTGAAATCCCTGAAAAAGCGGAAAGGCAGCACTCTCATTCTCGTGCAATCCACATGCAGAGCAATCTACAAAACCAATTGTTCATCCAAGTTCAGTCCGGCGTTGCGTTCAGAAGCATTCAACCACATGGTGTGGCCACACGACTGGCCCCACGACCCAGGTGTCTCTCGCCTCTGGGTGTGCCGACGGATGCATGTCATTCGGGGCCATGGCTGGAGGAGTCAAGGCCGGGGACGAGTGGAGCACAACTGATCTCACTGGAACTGATATCGAACTGCTGCTGCGCAGGGAACAGTTCCATGCGCAGGGAAATGGCGGCGAAGAACAGATGGAAAGAACAGACCAATATGTGCACTGGGAAAGAGTAGATGAAATGGAGACGCCAAACACCACCAAACACCAGCAAACACCTGGATGGCTGTGGCAGTTAAACTGCTATAGTCGGTTTTGTCTTGCCAACTCATCCAAGTGGCTCGTCCTTCTTCATCAAGCCTTCTGCCTCCATCATGCGGGCGCATCCTCGGAAAGGTTCCGCGGTGCGAGGTGGGAGGTGGATCCTGCAGCCCATTTTAATCAGGAGCCCCCCTGGCCCTGGCTGGGTAGACAGGTCGCAACGCCACGCCGGCAGAGCTCCCCAGCCATCCTCCCAGCCCTGGAAGAAGGAAAATGAACCAGTCCACCCGGCCAGGGTGTTCTATACAAACCCACATTCCAGCACCATCCTGTTTGAGTGCCCTGGCTGGAGATGTCTGAGTAGCAGTGGGCTGGGTAGTATGGACCACCCCGAACGGATGGTGCTGGGTGGTTTCAGGGTAGATGGCATAAACCCCTTTGAAGACGTCTTTGATATAGCTCCATGTTCTACCAAACTCAAAAATGCCGCCATCTCTAGAAAAAGAACACCACCAAGTGCCATTCTTCCGGGAGGAAGGGGCCCTGGTTTCACCACGGAATTTGTTCGGTGTTCATTCAGTTTCGACCAGTCACGTCGACCTGGCTGGTGTTTCGACCGAAGAGGACACACTCCCAAAAACTCACTCGGACCCGGGGTCAAGACGGTTTTCCTCACAGTTTCCCCGTGGTTTTCAGGGTCCAGTTTTCCACAGGGTACGCTTTGGCCCTGTTTCATCCGACATGGATTTGGGGTGTTTCTGGCCCTGCGAGGGTCGACGTCCAACACTGGGAGTGCATCTCCTTGGGCCCGGGATGGGAAACACTCCTTGCGGCCCAGCATCGAGCTCGTTCGTGCTTGATGGCCGAGTCAATCAGCATTTGGAAGGACAAGACCTTGGAATCACAGAGCACGGACTGTCACTCAGCACGGAAAAAGGCCCCATGTGACCTGTCGAAGGTCGGCGAGTCGATTATAAATCCGAACAAAAGGTTTGGCCATGTTTGGAGCTCAAGACATCAGCGACCTCACCAGTTCAACCCCTCTGGAAGGTTCGGGTACGACCGACCAGCTCTCCGAAGGAAAAAAAAACCGCTCAGGATGTTCAGGAGGTTTGCGGATACTCATTTGCATTGCTTCTTCCAGCCGCGGCTCATCACTGCAAGCAAAACGCCACCACGAATCGAACATGCATCATCTCTCAGAACTCTCAGAACTCTCATGCACTTTTGTTCCATAAAAAAGACCATTTGCAACATCAAAGACCACGCGAGCCGAGGCTCGCTGCGGCCGAGTCGTGGGTCGACCTCTTCCGACCGTCTCCGGCCGTTGCTGGGTCTCCCGGCCGAGGCCAGAAGCCCTCCCACGATCCTCGCATCGGGCGTGCGGCGCGGTGCGGCGGACGGGATGGGAGGCCTGTTTTTGGGATCGAACTGCCATGCCATGTGTTGAAAGTGGATGAAAGTGACGGTGTTTTTTGAATGCCTTGAGAGATGAGAGGGATGAATTTGATTGAATTTGCAAAGAAATCAGGGACATGATTGGACATGCCTCACACCTGAGTTTGTCACGCATCAGCCTCACCCATCAGCAACAACTCATCCGGCACCCACTTCCCGTGACTTCCCTATAGGATTCCTATTCATGTTACACCTTTCATGTGATCCCAATACACTAACCCGCCATCCCTCGCCTTCCCTCCACCCATCTCCAGCCAAGCAACGCCATCACCGACATGTGCGCCACCGCGTCGCGGATGAGCTTGCATGTGAGTAACTCCTCGGGCCCAAGTGACTTGAGGCGCTCCAATGGGTGACCAGGAGTGGACGTGACAGGGGCACGACCAGCGACGTGTCTACGCTCGTGCGGCGTGCGGTCATGGAAGGAGACAGACTGTCACCGACATTCCACCTGAAGTCACTCATAGCCAACGGTTCCCGAGCCCCATCAATCAAACGGTTTTTGTTGAAGAATCCCTTCACCCATGGGATCTTCCATTTGACGTCAGCCAATGGTTGAAGGACCTAGGGATTATGGCACATATGCCGCGCCAGAAAGACCCCTGAAATCAACCACCCCAATGGGGGCGGTAAATACGAGGGTCACATGGAGTGTCTGGGTAATGCGATGCGGAGGCTCTATTATCTCTATCTATATTTAATCGTTTCAAATTCATTGTCATCACAAAATGAATCTGCAGAAAGGACAGAAACTCTGAAGGGAACTTCATCCTTTCTACCATTCTCCGTGTTTCAACCACGAAAAGACGAACAAACAACACCATCCCAGTGGCTCGGTGGAGGCAGCTGTCAGTGATGGGCTCGAAGAAGCCTCGGGTTCGCTTGGCTCGCCCCGAGGCGATTCGACCCGTCCAAGCGCGGGGCGGAGGCGGCGGGCCAGTGGAAGGAGCAGGGTTTGGGGAGGCCGAGGCTTCGAACGACCGGCCCAGGTGAGGAAGGGAGACGACACATCGGCTGAGACTCGGAGCCGAGCGACGCTCCGCTCCGCTCTGGAGAGACTCGGAGCTGATGTTCTTGGCCCCAAAAAGGGAAGCTCATGAAGCATTCTTTTGGAGGTATACCTGGAGCTTCATGTCGGGGTGTCCTGTCTGGAGATCCCGGATGGTAGTGGGGTGGGGCTTCCAGCCAGGTGACCCCGAACTGAAGGTGCTGGTAGAGACAAACATCGAGGCTCACCAGCATCCGCGGTGAATGACCGAGAATGTGATCTGCGATCAGATGTGACAAGGAATCGAGAGTGTCCATTAGCCCATGGATATATAGATCCAGCCACGGATCGACTGAGTATACCATTGGCTATACTGTACCTTCTTGTGTAAAGGAAATCGATGATACAATTCAAATACATGATCCCTCCATCCCAGCGCCATGTGAGCAGCTCTGAAAACATGTGACATCTGCCTATTGTCATAAGAATTTGCTTACGCCACTGCTTACGCAACCTTACGCACATCAGTGTTTTGCTTCCACGGAACATTCATCTATGACAAGCACACCACTAAACATGAACAGGGAAGTTTATACCAGGACCCTCTAAGGGGTGCCCTGTTTGGAAGCCATCCTAGGTAGTGTGGGGTAGTCCATTGGACACCCCTTGGAAGGTCCTGGTAGAGTGGCTCATGTGTTTCTTCTTCCCCAAATACATGACGGTCACCGGCGGAGCAAACGACGATCGGACATCGCCCCAGCGGCCAAAAGTCTTCAGGAAGGTCTGGAAAATCGTCAAGACCTGAGCGACATGTGTCCAGAAACCAGCGGCTGCCTTTCCATCTCCATGCCGGCTGCATGATTTTTTTTTCCGCTGCATCCGCTGGCTGTCCACTAGCCATGGGACCATGTAGTGGTCGGTATCAACTGCATCCGGTGCCCAAAGGATGGCACTCCCCAGTCCCAGTCCCACCCCGAAGGCCGTGAAGGTTCTCAATAGCAAACCGGAACAACCATGGTGTCTTCTGGTTGGGACTGGGGAAACCCAGGAAGGGGCGCCCTATTGAGGTTGTTTGAAGGTTTTTGCTGAAGGTGTTTGATTGGGGGCCTAAGACTTGCCTTCACAAGCCAGATGGCAGCTTCTCTCAATATACCTTCATCCACCAAACGAGTCCCCCAAGCCAGGAACGAACTCGGCCGAACTCCGAACTCCCCAGGTCCCCAAAGTATGATAGGCATGCGTGAGAGGTTCCCAGCTCTCTCACTCTCTCTCAGATGAATTTTGGAAACTCGATGTCCCGCTCACCGTCGACTTCTTGACTTCACCCGATTCACCCGATTCCTCCACATCCCTCCACCCTCCACACAGACACACCCGCCACACCCGCCGGGTCCCTCCAACTTCGCCCCCACGTGGCGAACGTTCGCCCCTCATCACCCGCCCGGGCGCCGCAGTGCAGATCTCCGCATCGGTGAGGAGGTAGATCTTGGAGCAGCCAGCGCCCAAAAAACGCCTCACGAGTAGCGTAGCGTAGGCGTGAGCTGTCGTGTCGCGACGCGTCCGGCGGTGTGAGCTGTCGTGTCGGGGAACGAAGGAGTGGCGTTGAGTGGCGTTGAGTGCGCCAGTCTCAAAGGAGTCGACAGAAGCACCATGGAAAATGAGAACAAGATGGAACAAGTATTAACATGTATTAACAAGTATCTCTTTCTATATTAGGCTAGGGGTGTATTATACGGTGCTTTGGAGCCTGCAGGCAGATCCTCCCCAGATCCCGAGCTTTTCGCGTGTCTCCGTCCGCGCGCTGGTCAAACGGGAGCCCGGGAGGCACACCTGGAGACCTGTGATGAGGCACACCACCAAGGAGATTACAAACCTCAGGCAGTGACGAAGCCGGTAAGCCGGTGACGAAGCAGGGGCCCCCCAGGGTTCATCATGTTCTGGCAAATAGACCTGGAGAAAGCGAGGAAGGAGAGCTGTTGATGAGCTGTGATGCCTCAAGACCGAAGAAAATGTCCGGGTGGGCAGTGTGGTGTCTTGCGAAGGCACCTCTCATACCAGCTACAGGCAAAGAAAGAGGCCGGAGACGGAGACAAAACAAACACATAGCGAGGGTCTGCAAGTTCTCCTCAAGAGTGTCTCATAGTATGCAAGTCTCCAAGGCGCTGTAAAAAGCACCTCCGTTTATTCAAAAAACGTCATGTCCTTCAGCTGACTTGGAGCTCACTTGGAGCCATATACCAGGGCCCCCTGCTTGGTGTGGTTCATGGACATCCCGAATTCCCGAATCGCCTCTAGGGAGCTATAATTGGACACCTCATGGCCCGGGGGGGTATGGATCTCTAGATCATTGGATGGAGACCCCCAAACTGTTTTCACCTCGTCGGCTCTGGCCTCACGTCATCCCATCCGTCCCATCTTTGGGCCGGGCAGGACCAGAATCACGACCTGCGCCGCTGAGTTGGGACGTCCAATCAACACCCCCCAGGTGTCGGCTGGACGTTGTACTTTTTGTTGAGCTGCAGCAAGAACCAGCTGCGCAACGCAAAAACTGGCGAGGGAGTTGGATTTGCGCTCGGCCCGAGGCGGAAGACATTGACTACTCAAGAAGAGCACAGCACTGTTTTCATCCAGAAGCCATCAATTCAATGATCAAGCAACGAATTCTATGATAATACGGATACTAGATTTTCCAGAAACAGAACATTCTAAATGTTCAGATCAAAAATTGTTGATAAAGGTTATAATAAGGTGTGTGTGTGTGTGTCATGAATTTGGAAGATATGCACGGACAACAACTTGATTCCCTGCGCAAACTGTTGTGGATGTTAACTCTGAATCAGTAAAGTGTCACTGCCTTGATGGGAGAGTGTTGAACAAATGCATGTTGATGGAATATTCATAAGAAAAAGACCAGTTTACATTACATGACAGAACAAGCCGAACACATGGGCAAGAAATAGCTTGGATGGTGAAAATTACACCAACGATTTGAAAGCGCCCATGTACCACATATTGATGAATCTGATAGCAAGATCAGTGAATCTGGCAAGAGCCACGGAGTGCCATGAGGGTCCCCCCCAAATCGCCGGACAACTGCAGTTTCACTTGGAGGCACCGAATTGCCAGACTTGACTCAACTGACGATAGACTCAAGCGCCCGAAACTTCCGTCTGCTTCTCCCCTCCCGAAACTCGCGCCGGCTCCGCGCTCGCTCAGTCGCCACGGTCGCCACGGTCGCCTGCGCTAACAGCAAAAGAGACCAGAAGCAAAGGTGCCCGGAGGTGCATCCTGATAGGCACGCCTCGGCGCCCCCGACACCATTCCCCACCCCGATCCGCGCTCTCGCGACTCGCCACGCGCGGCGCAGCGTCGAGACGCGGCGGCGCCACGTCTCTCTCCGCTGCAGGTGGCGTGGTCAGGTCTGCCCCTCCGTTCGTCCCCTCGTCCAACCCCCCTCCGTTCGTCCGACCGTGGCGTGTTCGTTCAAACCTGAAACCCGACACGGAAGACTCTTCCGTGGCGACCAAGGCACGGTGCAGCTGCTACAGCAGGTCCTCAAGCGCTCCATAAAGGTCTGTGGTGGTTCTGGTGACTCGGTCGACAGCTCCACCTGTGGCTCGTCCGTGCAGACGCGAGTTGGGAGTGAGACGCGAAAGGAGGCGGAGGGGTGCCAGGCCGTGGTGACCGGCGGAAAGAAGAACGTCTGTCCACCAGGTGGTGCCCAGAAAAGGGACCGGAACCTGGAACTCCCAGATGATGACAGCCTTTTAGATGATCTTGCCAGTCAAAAGGTGCAGGAAGACATGCCTTGTTGATGGTATTAGTAGCCAGATGTTCCCTGTTTTGACACATGAACTGAGTACCCCCCCTGTCTTCGTCAGAACCCAGCACTAGCAGGCACTGGGTCTTTTCAGCGAGCTATGACTGGGCTCTCAGGGTTCAGTGCTGGCTCACAAGGAAGAAACAAGCATAATCTATAACCCTAGGCTTCAAACCACCATTATTGGTTCTTGCCAAATTACCATTGTTTTTTACTAAGGATTTTTACACTACAAAACCAGGTCACCCTTTCCTTTAATGGTCTTGATGTCTTGGAAGTCTAGGGTATAAGCTGGGTGCTCCACGACTGGAGCACCTGGGCTTCACATTGAAACCAGGGCATCCTGAAGCCACACTGGTGAAGCCGGCGTGTTGCGGAGAAGCTCTCACACTCAACCTGAGCCTGTGATCTCCTGTCTGATTGAAAAATACCAAAGAGTCTCACGGATTCTCACCATCAAAATAAGGATAAAAAGAACTGAGAGTGAATGACTCAGACTCATCTGAACCCCTCTTGGTCCCTTTGACCAAGGGACCAAGAGGGTGACTCCGAGGTCGAGTACGCGTCAAAACGAAAAGTCACAAAGCATGCTTACCATACTTATATACCATATACTTCCTGGACCCCCCCCAAAAAATGTTGGTATACCTAAAGGGGGCCCGTAAAAAATGGACACCCTTTCCGTGGTGCTGGATGCGATCAGTTCTTGTGACTTGTTATATACTCGTAACATTTTGTAAGGTTCTTGCCCTCAATAGTTCTTATCATGACCCACAGTTAACCAGTAACAAGACCTCAAAATGTCACACAGTTTAAGTAGCAGGAGCTCTTGTTACCTGACTGGATGCTAGGTCTTCTCATCTGTCATGATCACCTCACTTGGACCTCATTCATCAGCCTGAGATGGTCCAGACCCCGCCTGAGGTCCACCAAACCATCCGTTGGCCCAAAAGGCGTAGAACAACCTCCGCTCATTCGGCCGCCGATCCGATTCGGATCGGATCCGGATCGGGTGTGGCCCGGTGCCGTTGAGGGCTTTTGGGTGGTGAATGGAAGATGTACCATCCAGTGAAGAGTTGAGAGAGTGAGTGAAATCCGGGCCTTTTCTGATAAAGGCCTCCCTTTTTGGTCCTCATTCCTGTGATCTTTGGGAAATGCTGCAGACCGGTCCTCAGACCACGAAATTGGGAACGGGAAGCCGATTCGATCCAAGTGGCATGAAGCCAGTGAAGAGGAAGAAAAACACAAAGTACAAGATCCACACCGTCCTCAGCAGCCCAAAACGGTCAAAAAGCCTCCCCCCCTCCATTGAGAAGTCGAGTTATGGCATTGATTTATGTTGTGGATTATGGAAAAGTCGTAGAACCTCATCAATAGCCTGCAGCTTTAGCCTCTGCTGTGTTTAAAGGGTTTCACGAGTTAAAACGAAGCAAACAACAAAACGTCGGCTTTGGGCGGGTCGCTTGTACATCCCGGCGATCTGCTGCAGCAAAGGCGGGGTCTTTAAACCCAAGATCTGCGAGGAGACGAAGAGCAACGAAGCGAGACGAGGAGCTTCATAGGGGTGTCCTGTCTGGAGATCGCTAGGTAGTGTAGGGGCTTCCAGCCAGGTGACCGCTTTGAAGGTGCTGGTATAGGGCAGCTATGGAATGCTCTGTGTGATGTAGTTGCGAAATGTGCTATATCGGAAGGCAAAATGGTTTCTGCCCCTTCGCTTGTTTAAATGAATCGGATGGCGTATGGCTTTTGTAGCCTCGAGGTTGAACACATGAAACACCTCACCTTCGTGCATCGAATCCAGGCCTAGCCCACTACACAATCAACCACCTCTGTCTGGGGCGGCTTTAGTTTGCCAGTCCCAGACAGGTCGTGTCTGGGGGGTTCTACACAATCTGGAGAGTAAAATGCATGTGCCATGCGATTGTTGATGTTTCTCACTGGCCCGTCGACCCCCCAAAATCCAACATTGAATAAAGTTGAGATGAGCCATGTACTCTCTGACAGGTCCCGGACCCTCCGACAGATTCACAAATTGACCAGCCCTAGTGGGCCCAACAACCCTGTTGTTAACGACATCGAAGGGGAAAGGGTACTGGTTACACAGAACTTCCAATGACTCCTTTTTACATCCTTTTAATCCAGGTACAAGTACCTAGTAGTCAATCCATCCACCACTGCCAGGCATGACTGGACTCTCAGCATTTTGGGCGCCTCATGTCCCTGGTTCGTCCTCGGTCCGACACCGTGGCTTCGGATGGCCACGCTCCGCCCAGCGCAACGCGCTCCGCGGTCTCGCCTGAGACATGGAATCGATCACGCCAGAGACGATACCCACCTCCTTCCTGAGCGTTCCGGCCGAAGCGATACCGACCGGGCGACGGTGTGAAACTCTTCGCACACCGGGTGTAGCTCGAGCTTCCATGGTGGTGTCGCTTCGGACCAAAATCGACTCCAAAATCATCCCAAAGCCATTGGAGGATGGATCTTCCCCAAGAACAACTACCCCCCCGGACAACCGACCGGCATGGTGGGCTCCGATTCTGGAAAGCCGATTGGCGGGATGAGTCGGTTGGAGGATCCAAGCGAAAACAAGTTCCGGATAGACAGCAAGACCAAACAGGCGTCGTCCTCTAACCAGCCACGCTGAGGAACCTGAGATGAAATGACCCTATAGGAACCTAGCTTGATGTGTCTAATCCTTCACATGCAAGTCGTGCGCCTTCAAGAAGCATGACGTCAAAAGATCTTCAAAACGGGGCGAGCAGGGTAACCACGTTGGACGAAGACCCTGAGGAGACACTCTCATCTTTCTTCCCAACAATTTGGGAACTCAAGGCCAAAAGCAGTCCTATAGGCACTCCATTTATAAACTCCCCCAATCGTATCCAATAGTTGGCTTGTAAAATGTCTTCATCTCTTCATACCAGGGCGGGCCAAGTGGGGGAGGGGGGGGTTTTTGTTTATCCTTTGTTCAACCAACCTCTGTGACCCACAACCTCGGGTCCCAGGAGCTTGGCCGTTTTCAGATTCTTCACCACCTACAGCGGTCGCTTCGCTCGGTGCCACCGCTCGTTACGCGGTCCGCGTGAGCCGGACACGCGTACGAGCCGAGCCGAGCCGGAGGAAGAGCGCGAGCGTCCGAGCGGGTAGGGATACCTGGAGGGTAGTCCCGTTACTTCAGAAAATGGGTACAATGTATAGACCTACCAGCACCTTCAGTTCGGGGTTACCTTGGAAGCCCCTACACTACCATCCGGGATCTCCAGACAGGACACCCCGACATGAAGCTCAGACGGATGGATGGGACGAAGGGAATCCGGCGAGGTTGGTCCCAACTTGCAGAAAGGCAAACACCTTTGTTTGCGAATAGAATGGACACCCCTGGATACCCCTAAGAATTAGGCTATTATTGGACACCCCTTTCGGGGCCCTGGTATATCAACCTGTTCAATGTCCACAAACCTTCCGAACCACCTATACACGAGCCAACTCTTGATGCACAACCCCGAGCCCACATCTGGAACACCTCCACTGGCAAATCGAAAAGGAAGGCCAACTTGACGTCCCTTCAACTCAACGACCTCCGAACAAAAGAAAGACACGAGACCCAACTCAGGGGCCACCTCTGCTCTCCTTGCCGGCTGTCGCCCCGCGCTGTCGCACAGACCGCGAATCGACGGCTGGACGCGCCTGTGGGAGGATGCCCTGCAAGTCCTTCAAGTTGCTCGTCACAAAGGTCATGGCTCCGTTCAGCTGCATGGGCACATCCGGCACCTGCCCGCACCACTCGAGCGGCACGGTGCGAGCGCATTGGTTCGCGCCATGTGCGGCACGGGCCGGAGCGCCATGTGCCGCGCCGCTTCAGAACGGATGCCTGGTGGACGGAAAGAAGCGATGCACATCCACCATCTTGCTCGGATGCAAATGGTCCAATATTGGATGCACTGAAGGGTTGTAGATTTCTAGGCGGTGCAGAAACTCTTCCATCAGCAGTGGAACTGAACTGCTTTCCTGTGCTTTGCACTCTCCTTACGAACGTCCAGAACTCAGATGCGTCTCCCGGGTGGGTGGTCTGGACATCCGGAAGACGACTCCACCATCGGTTGGTGTCCAATCAGCTCAGCATTGAGAGACCAGAGACCTGATAAAGGACCCGTTCGACCTGGAGGGTCTTCGTCTAACTACCTGGAGTCGACCCATTCGTACTTCGGATCATGTCCCAGTTTCTCATGTACGAACGGTCCGTCGGGTCCAGGTATGTAGCAACCATACAGGTCACCTGGGCTACCCAACTGGGATAGTCATCTATAGGGGTCTTCAGAACATCTGGACCTGAAGTGCTATGTGATGCTCTGTGCCGTTCCATCATCTCTTAGCTCTGTGCCGGAGTCCGAGTTCGGAGCAGGGCAACGTGCACCCCTGCTGAGATGCCAAACTCAACTCCTGCCCTCCAAATGAGTACCAGGAGTCACAGAAGGAGTGCTTTGTAGTCCCATCGGTTTGTAGATGTGACAGCACCCAAGGGCGGCCCTAGAACCTTCAGTCTCCCGAAATGAAACTCCTGGAACATCGTGACGGCGCACCATCCTTTTTGCCAAACCTGGGCGCTGCCACAAACCCACCGAGATGACTCTCGGCTCTCGGCGCGCTCCGGAGCTCCGTCCTGATAGGCGTAGTTGCAGGCGGCCTTCTGTCCCGCCGCGCACTGGGCGGTTTTGAGTCCCTTCGCCACCAATGCGTCGGAGATCAGCATGATGTCCTGCACAGTACCTGCTGCAGTGCTGCAGGGGGGGTTGTTGTTTTTTCGCACAAACAGGGATAGTAGGCCTACGGTGTGAAAGGGATAGTAGGCCTCCTACCATGGAAGGAAGATACAAGAAAGGAGGATTTGGGAGGGGGTGAGAAAGAGATGGGGATCAAATGCTTGGGTCTTTGGGTCTGCTGTCTCAGTCTCTGTCGATGCTTTCTGCAGATGCTTTCTACACGTGGGGCAAAAAGTATGGTGCATAATGGCAGAAACGAACACACCGAAACCACACACCACGCACATGTCATGCGTCTTCTTTATATCCCGAAGGCGCTCATCACGAACCACTACCACAGCAGCGTGGCATTGTAAGGGGTGGCCCCCCCCAAACAGAGTCCAATGCACTCCAACTTGGAGAACCTGTAACCAAATCCCTTCAAACGTGTCAAACTTGATCCTCGAGTCTCGAGTCGAGAAAAACCGGTTTTCTCTCGCCGCGGCGATGAGAGCCGCAGGCAGGCGATGAGCCGGTCACCATTGAGGAACTGGTCGGCTTGCTTGTGGAGGAATTCCTGTCCTGGAGCCGAAGCCGCCGAGGTCGGCACTGCCGAAAGGGCCCGGTGTCTTTCGCATCGCTGAGCAAAAGGATCGTTGCTCCACCCAGGAGCCGGGTGGTTGGATGGAAAATGCATCACGGGGGGGGTCTATAAACCGGAACTGGGTGGTGCTGGAAGGTCTTGATATACCCTGTTTGTTCAATGTTTACCACCTAGGGAGCGGGAATGATAAGTGTGCTACCGCCATGCTTGTTCCCTGGAACAAAATGCAACATCTCACGTGCGCGTACAGCACAAAGAACTACACTTAGCCAATGTTTGACACTGCTCAAGAAAAAACACAACGAAACCAACGACCAAATCCATCAATTCTCAAACCAATCCAACACTAGACTCCCAAGCAAACACCGGTCACCGATCAAACCATTGTCACTTGCCTCCAGGTCCAGCCACATCGTTCATAAGGGTCAAGAAGCTCTGGGTCTTCTTGATCATCCCATTGATGCTGTTGCAGGCGCTATCCTGGGTGCTTGAAAAACAGGGCTGTTGGGCTGTTGATTTCAGGTGCTCTCTCTCTCTCTCTCTCTCTCTCTTGAGCGAGAGGGTGAAACTTTTCCAGGGACCCCTGGAAGGCCCACTCGGACAAGGGTGGGGTAGCGTTCTGCTGCAAAGCCTTGCCTTTCGGAACATGAGCCTCCTTCATGTTTATATTCTGATCTTCGTTATAGCCTTTACCAAACAACCATGGTCTAAGGATTTTACACCACAAAGTAGCCAGGTCAACCTTTGTACTTCTGATGGTCAAACAGAGGCTTCTGGGCCTTAAAATCTGCACTTTCGAAGCACATCCATAGGCGAAAGTCCATTGAGATGCCCTCCATGGCACAGACCGTCTCCATAAATAGGGGTCCAACCCCACAAAAAAAAATATAGAACCTTCCTGGTTCGGGCCTCAATTCTTCGAGTCTTTTTCTCGGTTGCGGAACCCAGCGTCCAAGGGATTGGAGCTGGTTCCCGAGTAGGCATAGCACTGGTTGTTGAAATCCTGCGCATGGCCGGTCTCGGCCGCCAAGGCCCAGGCCCAGCTGGCGCACTGGGTGACCGAAACGTGGATTGGGCTCAGTTAAAAAGAATAGAGATGAAGTAAGTACAGAAATGCTGTGAGAAATGTTCTCCCAAAAAGAATTGTAAAAATTGCTACCTTTTTTGGCAACTTCGAACTTAGCAAATCTTCCAGTCCACTTATACTCCACACACCTTTCACCCTCCACACCCTCTTCAACCCTGGCGTGTCGGACAGATCGATCCGCTCCCGGACCTCCACACCTCGCCCCACCGACCTCGGACCTCCGATCGAAAGAGCTCTCCGATCGCGACGGGACGGAGCTCGGGGTCCGTCACGGTGCGGCTCACGTTGTTGGCCAACTCCTCCGCGAAGAGCAAGGTCTGCGGCTTCGCCGGCTGAGCCCCGGACGAGGCCTGCGCGCGCATGCGCCCGTGGGTTGGCGAGGATCCGGAAGCAGATGTTCCGATTCTTAAAAGAAGCACCTGGAACCCTCCAAAGTACTTCAGAAAATGGGTACAGTCGTACCAGTTTTTTTAGTTCGGGTCATGTCCCATGTTCTAAAGTACGAACTGGAGGGTTCAGGCAGAAAGAAACATGGAAAAATGGGTTCGTGTCTCCAGTTCGCACTTGACCTCACTTGGCCGGAACAACCAGTTTTTTCTGGTTGGGACTGGATCTCGGTATGGGTGTGGTGGAAAAACTCGGGCGTCAACCCAAGATGCTTTGTCAAATCAGCGATGGAGAATGCCATCAAAGAACGATTTCTCCTGATTCCCCAAACATCCCAAACACTGCTTGGATCCAGTCGACTGTCATTCTTCAGACTGCTGGAGATTGCCATGAGTCGGGTTGACCGACCCGCACGAGTCCGGTTTGACGCCGATCTCGCCACTCCGCCGGCGCGACGTCCTGAATCGCCGCCTTTGCCGGGTGCTGAAGCCGCCTTCCGCCCGTTTCCACCCCCTGAGAGTCGCCTGCAAGGCATCTGGATCCCCAGAGCTGCTGGTCGCGCTGCTGCCGCCCAGCAGCATGTCCCTACCACAGAAACGTCCAAACCATTCCAGGCTTAAAGGGGGCACACGTATGGCTGGCAGGGAAGCAACATGAGTCTTCCTCTTCGCCACCCAGCGACGGACCCAACGCCTCAAGTTCAGGGCCGCGTCGGAGTGGTATTGGCTCTGTCCACCGGTGTTGCCCGTCAGGGCGGTGTAGCGCTGCTCGCTCTTCAGCACCTCCGGGATGCGGAAGTGAAGTCTCCCGCGTGGCACGGAGGAAGTGGCGGTCCGTGTTGAAGTGATGAAAGGCAGTGCATGGTGTCCCCCAAACCAACTACACTGTGTCCGCAAATGCCAAGTGACTTCATACTCAATTACCCACACATTTGGTTGGACTAGCTGCTAGCTGCTTCACCTGGCCAGGAGATCGCCTTTCGATTGGACCTTCACCAAGTAAACCGGAGATCACCCAAAAGACGAAGTGGCCCTCCCAAAGGTCGACAATGAGGGCAGAGAGATGGTTCTAAGTTCTGAGGTCCAACTTCTGAAAAAAAGAGAAGGTCCTCTTTCAGATGGTTAAACAACTTCTCTCTTTCGGGAGATGGTCCTCTTCCAGAGATGTTTAAGAGAAGTCGGACCTGAAAAAGGACCCGGCATGCCGAACGGGTACTCAACTGGGAGAGTCGAACGGCTCGGGTTCTGAAAACCCGTTGTAGGTTCTACCAGGAAGACGATCCATCATGGGTGTTGTGGCTGGAGGTCTAGACAAGGGATGTGCAGGCTAGTCAGGTAATCCCGGTGACGCCAGGTGAAAGATGATCCGGGTACTCTTGCCAACAGACCATGGATCGCCTGTGCCATCCCTTTGTCCAAAAAGAAAAGACGGTTGAGTCCCATCCCACCGCCGTGTTGTACGCGTCCGCGTAGCTCTCCGAGCCTGGCAGAGGCTTTGTGGTTTGGTGGCGGATGGTCATAGGAATACCCTATATAGGCCCTGGTGCCCTGGGCCCTAGGCTTGAACACCAACATCCAGTTAAGTGTCTATTGCAGCTATTTTCCTATGAGGATGTTACACTAGTTACCATGGTAACAACCTTTCTCTATAGGCCTTGCCCTTAGCCGCTATAGCCCTTGTAGATGGATGTTCCGTCAACCGTGGCCTCGAGTTATATCTCACCGAGACTTGCACCACTATGTCGTGCTGTTGCACCAGGTAGCTCACAAGAAAGTGGCTCGCAGGTGATGCAACCTCGAAACTCCTAGCAAGTTCCCTTCCACTCACTGGATTATATCGGTACCATCAATCCTTTTGAGGACAACCTGTTCAAAGAACCAACGAGACGCTGACCCCGCTGGTCCCTGGTGGTTCGTTCAATTGTGATCTTCACTCCTGGGCGCCACCAGCAGAGCAGGTGCCCAGGCGTGGCCTCCCTCACATCGACCCGTGCGCAGCGAAGCGTCGCGAGAGAGCCGAGCTGCCCTTGGGCTGAATCTTGGCAAACGCCTTCATGGCAGCCTCTCGTCCACGCGCGCGAGCCGACGCGAGCCAACCACGCGGGCGGTAACGCGAGGAGCAACCACGAACCACGCGGACGGATGGTTTGGATGGTTTCGATAAAATTGGTTCGTTCACCATGTCCCGGCATCGAATCGATCTCAAGAAAAGGGGAAGAGGGAAATCCATCTTCGATTCCAAGAGAACCAAGGCAACACAGAAAGGGGCTTCCCTCCGAAGGAGTGGTTCATCGGAATCCCAGAAAGCCTCCGATTTGGGGCTCTTCGACATATATCGAGTTCCGAGTGAACACCACAGAAACAGCACGACAGTTTGTATCTTAAATGCTTCCTTGACCCACACCAGGTTCCCTCCCCCTCTTCCTCCTTCTCTCCACTCTCCTGCCTCTCAACTCTCCTCTCCTCCTCTCCCCCTCAGGGCCATTCTCCACCCCTTCTTCAAACCTTAAGAAGCCACCCAGTTCCCACATCCCCCCCGCCCCGGTCGCCGTGAACCCGCCCCGAAAGAGCCGAAAGAGCCCTGAAACGCCGCGCCTCGCCCCCTTTGGCGGTGGTGACCCATTGGATCACCTGGACCACGGTCTCGTCCTGCGTCTCGTGGAGCTCTTTGGCGCGTTCGATGGGGAGGTTCTCCCATTGGGAAGGAAAACCATTCGAAGAACACACCAGAACAGGGTGGAATTGGCCTGCACTGCCTACCCTCCAGTACTTTTCAGGCACCTTGGAAGAAAGCCAAAATAGAAGAACATACTATACCTGGACCATCCGACCATCTTGGTGTCCTGCCTGTACTGGAAAGTAATGGAGGGTAGCACAGCCAGGTGACCCAGTGGCCGGATGGTCCTGGTATTCTCCTGGACCAAGGGGATTGACCCAGTTATAGGGAAAATCACCTGATCCGCAACCAAAATCAGGTCCTCGATGGTGATATCGAAGCCCTCCTTGGCGAAGAAGGTGGTGTCCGCCAGTTGATCCACCTGACAGGGCGCACGCTGGCTGTTTCCAGCATCACTGCAGCGTCATTTTTGGGGTCGGGTGTTTGGAAGGGCCGAGAACAGCGGTGTGAAGAGAGGACCAAGGATGACCAAGGATGACCGAACATGCTAACAGGGTCTGCTGGGATGTTGTCTTGTCAATTGATTGGCTCAGCGACTTTCACTCTGAGATCCAATTAAGGGTGTTCATCCAGGTGGTTTCAGCTCCTTCTGCCCTCCAGGACGGACACGTACACGAGTTCTGACCGAGCTGCAGCAGCCACGGTGTTCTTGGCATTGGCCTTCATGGTGTAGTTGATCACCAATGAACCTCCAAACAGTGAAGGCTCGTCCCAAGCGCCCAAGGTGATCTTTGCAAGTGGCCTATATCCTATAGGTTCACTGTAGGTTGACCAAGGTAGACTTGCAGAGGTAGGTCAACCTATAGGTAGGTCAACCTATAGGTTCACTATCCAAGTGGTCTTTGTAAGTGGACTATAGTCGGATTTTCCAGGCCCAACGCGACCGGTCGGGCGAAGATGGTGGGGAAAAACCGACCCATCAGAATGCGATGTTGTCTGATGCGATGCGAAATCGCAGAATGCATCCTTTCTCTGGTGAAAAAGCCCCAGGATTACTTCGCTGGGCCTCCCGAACCATAGGGAAAACCATAGGGGAACCCGATTCGCACCCAAAATCGCCAATGCAGGTTCGCTGAATCAGCTGCTGGGTTTTGAGGTGTTTGAGGTATAGCTCATGGTAGCTCCATAGCTGCTCCAGCTTGTAAGGAAGTTCACCAGCTGTGGTGCTGATTGCGACTGCACCATGGAAGTTTCATCGTCCCTGACTGCCAAGGTGGTTACAATAAACACACCTTAACCTTTAAGGGACTGTTGATAGATCTTGCTTGTTTCATGATGCTTCATGCCATTTTGATTGTTTCAGCAGCTCAGTTGCATCTTGTCATGCTTAAAAGCGCTTCAGATGAAAGGACCCTGAAACATGTTGATCATCTGGTTGGCGCCGAAGAAGACTCCCCAAGATTGGCTGATTTGCATGTATGGGGGACTGGAATCATACAATGAACCAGCTCTGCGGCCTCTGCGGCCATCGGCGCACCCGACCGGGGAAGCCGAGAGGTGTCTTTTCTCCACAGCCCAGCGACCCACATCCACGGGGGAGAGGTTGTTGGGGTCCATCTTCTTCATGTAGAGCTGGTAGAAGATGTCCGCGGTAAACTCCTGGCCCGCAGGGTTCTTTTGACAGAAATTCAGGACCTACAGGTCTTGATCACCTCCTTTATCACCTCCAGCTCTCTCAGGCTGAAAAGCATTGTTCTTCTAAGGGAAATGCAGACAACTCCAGGTCTTGACCATCCAAGCTTCATCATTGGAAATGGCGGACTTCCGGTGCACGACTGGCATAACAGCAAATGTACCGGGCGTGGGACTTCTGGTCCGGACATGTCGAAATGAAATGGGAAAAGAATCATCACGTGGAATCAAACAGAAATATCTTCCACTATTAACGCATCGCGTCGACGCGGCGTGGGCGCGTCGCGAAACGGAAAAAAAAAGCGCGGTCCATGGGCAAATGGCCGTTGACCAACTTGGAGGTGATCCACTCGACCTGTTGGTGTGGGTCGTGAGGAGGACCTTCCACATCCTACTGTAGGGCTTCAAGTACTTGCCCAGAAGGTGTTTGGATCCCTCACGGCCACCCCAGTTCCACCTTCTGAGGAAGTACGACTGGAGATCTAGTAGGGACAAATGGAGATTTAAAGCTCATGCGAAAGACCAAGGATTGCCCTGAAACATGTGAAAACTCCGAGAGGATGCCAGCACAGCTGGCAGGAAGTACGGCTGACATTTGGCACCAGGAGGCTCCGCCGGGGCCCCAATCGGGGGGTGCGTGCCACAAGACTTGGGACGCTGGGCCACACCGCGTCGCACCGGTTTGGGTCTCTGGGCAACACGGCATCGCATCGACATGGACGACCAGCTGATCGGTCGGTGCCAGACACTCCATGTCAGATTTGCCATAGATTGGAGATGATTGGAGTGAAAAGGAGTCCATGAAGGCAATTCCATACATGGAGTCTCCGGAAGATTATAGGGACCCCTTGCAGAGGAACACGTTCATTGCCGGGGCATTGTCCCTTGGCAGTTCTGCAGGGAATTGCTGGTGGGACAGGGACAGGGAGGCGACTCAAGTGCCACCCTCCTAGACAGCTCTGGGCTTCGTACCGCACCGCGCACCCGAAGCCAAGGAACATCGAGGATTCACAATGGCAGCGTTGTGGATATCATATGATGCCACTAAACAAACTGGACCTTCAGGCCACCACCTGTCCAGCCTGCCCAGCTGGCCCCCAGCCTAAAGGCGTTTCTTTCAAAACCAAAGGCCTTGGTGAGATTCTTCCCACAAACAATGTTCAGGTAGTCCACCACGTTCTCCGCCACCTGGAAAGTCATGCACTGCCCGTTATCTTTTCACGACCGGTTTGGAAGAGCCGATTTCGTTAGAGCATTGGCAGAAGCAGATTATTTCTTGAGATCTGGCCATGGGAGGCCAGTGGTGGTCCAAGCTGGAAGAAGAAGAAGAAGAAGAATAGTATAGTATAGTATAGTATAGTATAGTATAGTATAGTATACAAATTAATGGAGTAAAATGCCTGCCTTGGAAACCAGCAGAAAAGCACTACGTAGGATGTAGCTGGATACAAATGGCCACAGATTGGGACGAGTGTATATACTTGTTATTCAGAAGACGTTGTCTAACAAACTGCTTCCACCTACAGCGATGTTTGACCCTTTATGCGGTCTATAACTTCATATTGCAGATGTTCCAACACCATCATCACAAATAATGCACCCCTAAGCACTCCAAAGTAAAAAAAATACACTACCCCCATCTATACCCCTTGTGGGAAAGAAGATGAAAGAAGTACAACTTAAAATACTTGCTTTTACAACTATACACCGAATTCCTCCAAGCACTTCTTCCAAATACCTCCCAGCACGCCACGATGGCTGCTCGTCATCCCACCGCCCCAGCACCACACCTCTGCGCGCATGTGGCTGTTCCTCACCGCGGAGCCTGAAACGTGACAAGCTCACCGCTCACGTATACGCTGGGATGAAGACCACACGACACGCTGCCGCGTCTTCGTCTCTGGTTCCGGTGCACACGTCTCATGGGAAAAAGCACAGGAACACGCATGACAACACAGGAAAAAAAACCGTTGGTTCAAAAGAGAACCTCCTTCCGACGTTTTAAATTAGCTCGGTGGGTGTGTGTGCGGGATGAAGACTGAAAACCATGACACGCAAAATAAGAGGAACATGTTGAACCACATCCCCTCAACCCCTCCCAAGTTTGTCAGACGAAGCAAGTGGAGGCATGTGCGTCTTGGGTCAGAGCGGAGAGGGGACCCTCCTCCGGTGCTGCCCTTCAGCTTTTCATGAATCCCCCCCAAAGAAGAAAAAAAGGGATGTCTCACTGCGTACCTCGGAACATGGGTCGTCTTGTACCTGTTTTCTGGGGGCATGGCTTCACGCGAGTGCTTCACGATCGACCCAACCGCGGCGACGCGGTCCGCCTACGGAAGCCAGCTTCTTCGAGTAGGTCCTCAGGATCGTAGTCATCATGCCTGGGATCCAGGAACTGGACATGGGACGGTCGTGCAGCACGACCCGGGTGTGGTGCTTCGTGCTGTTCGGCGGTTGGCTTGATCGGTACGTTGGGCCCTCTGTGCAGATCTGCGCGCCTCTATCATCCCCCCCCTCTCCCGTGAACCGTTGGTGGAACATGGCCAGGTGGTGAACAGGTGCAGGAAGAGGTGGATGGCACGTCGGCCGAGCCGGCGTGGCCTGGTACGGAGGGGTCAGTGACCATGTTCTCGTACCTGGCAGCAAGGGAATGGAGCCGCAAGTCGCACGAAAGCAAAGAGACACCATGATGACTCGATCTAGACTCGGAACCTCGTCAAACTGATAAGAGTTTCTCATCATCAAACATGTCAGACTTGAGTTGCACGCAGGGTTGCTTGGGTCATGTTGGCACCACAAGCACCAAACACACAAAATGAACTGGACACAAGCATCTCTTGCATTATTCAATATATGCCAATACCAAACAATGCCAGGGTTCCCCGAAATATCCACATAGAGCTTGCCCCCATGAACCACCCGCCCCTCATCGGGGTTTCTCTTCCCTCCCCACCCTCCACCCTGAGGGGGTCCCAAACCCCGCGTCGGCGCCGCGCGCGCCAACCCGACGGACGGCACTCGTTGATTTGGATCGATCCATCACCACTGTCGTCGTACTTCATCAAGAGCTGATTCGCCTCAACCAGACGCGTCCATGGCACGGCCAAACTGGAGGGAGTTGCGCAGGTTCGGGCGGTGCTCTGAGGTGGTTTTTGGTGGTGTTCCTGCCTTTTTTGGGGGGGGGAGGTGGGGGAATATCTCGTCAGACGTCTGCATATAAGATGATTTCCTTGTATTCGGGTCCCAGAACATTATATTTGGGTTCCTTAGTTATATTGTGGGGTCTCACAGGATCTGCAAAAGATTTGCAGTTGAGGTCTCAAGAACTCCATTCTATGATACATCTTACCCAAGCTGCATTTGGCTCAGTCTTTTTTCAGCGGCAAAACTGCGATGCCAAAGCCATCGCATTGCGATGTCAGACAAGTCGTAACACTTGGCCTTCTTTCAGGCTAGTCTGGTTTTTCATCACATAGAGCGGTTTGCCTGAGATAAGGTTCATCAAATCTTCAGACACAGTACTGAGTTGTTTTCTTGTTTCTTTTCTGAGCATGCTTCTTCAATAAGTGCTATCATGGCACGGGGCTTAATCTCCTGAGGGCACTGTGTTTCTACAGTCAATGTTCAAAAAGCAGAAAAGCAACAATCTTTGGGACATCAATGGGAGGTCTCTCCAAAGATCCGCAATGTTGAAGCTAGCCACCTGCGCCTCCTTGAAATAAGCCACCCGCCAAATGCGGGAGAGGACTCTTGAGGATTCAAGAGCCTGGGAAGGATAGAAGCTTAGTAGCATAACCATGGTGCAAATATGTAGTCAGTGAGACAGGTGAAATAAAGAACCTTTTTGCATATTAGGAACACTTGCCGGGAAAGCACTTGCGACAGAGGAGAACTTCAATCCAGTCATGTTTGCCATACTCCAAGCAAAGTACCACAAACTGGCCTTTGGGTGAATATGGAAGCACTGCTCACCTTAGATCATTCTATTGGTAACAGGATTCATGATAAGAAGGCACGGAAAACAGAGCGAGAAGATACATTATGAATGAGAAGACAGGTGACCTGCAGAGTCCGTAGTGGAAACTTTGTGTGTCTCTAGCACATGTCCGTTGATGGACACATCTGTGAGTCCCTCATCCTCAAACTCGCACAAGAGCTTCCTCCAAGTTGACCGATCGGTGTCCGCGACAGTCTTGTTTTCGGTGACCTCCAGGATGACCTCAGATGTATCAGAATGCCAGGAGCACGCCATTGTATAGTCCAATTGTCCACCTGACCAAGCAACTCAGGAAGGGCACTAACACTAAGAAAACAAATTGTTTGGTGGCCTGACAAGGTGGTAAGCGTTTTCTTCCCTGAGATCGAATCATGGCTGGCGTCCTCCACACTGCAGTGTCAAGAAACACTGCCCATCTAAGGATTTAGCGCTGTACGATTCATGCCCCACTAACGATTGAATCTCCTGGCAAACGAAACACAAAATAGAACAAAGTAAAATCGGTGAAATTGTACACCCTTCTTTATCTCAATGTGACTCAATAATAGTTTGCTGCCAAGAGAGCTTGTTCTGATCAAAAGCCAAAACACCCATTGCTTTCACGTGTCGTGCCCTAGCTACTCTCATTGCCCGGGTCCGAGGGGGAGCGTGCAGCATCAGCATCGCTCTCCTTTGCAGGACTCGCGGGAGAATCAACAGGAGCTTCTTCCTCCGGGGCAGTGTTGCGTGAGGCTGAAGCATCCCCGGAAGGAGCTTCCGGAGCCTGCGGGTTGGATGTCTTCACTTTCAATCTACGACGGCTTCGCTCACTGTTGGACATGTTCTGGATGGAGGAGACCCTCTCCGGGTGTGCTCGCCACCTAGCCGTATCGAAAACAATCAAGGAAAGGAGAATTGGAGCGGTGAAGGAAGGTGGAATAAGCTTTGCAAGTTCTAAGTAATGGACTCCGCGCGTGCCATTGCCAAGATCTCTTTAGGTGTCTTGTCCGGGTGTTCCTTCTTCAAACGCTCGGAAGCGTCCTTGATGTGGTTGTGGTAGGTGTCTCGAAGGCCAACCCTTCCCATGACACCAGCCTGAACAACAGGAAAAGACAAAAGAACAAACAATGGCAAATAAATCTAAGCTGTGACATTGTTTTGACTCTCTTTGAATACAACGATCAATATTAGTTTTGAATTGGGTTGTCAGTCTAGATGTTGTTGTATCAATCTGAGGTGTATGGCCTTGTGCTTCTTCTTTGACTCTCGTGGCACCTGCAGGCATGGGCGTTGGGGATTATGGATCAAGGTTTGAAGTAAGTGTGAGACTCAGGGTGGGAAGAACTTCTATTAGCCTTCAAGTAAGTGTTCATGCAATCTGGCCTGCCCAAGGACCAATGTCTTTTCTGAGTCTTCATCTTCATCTTCATGTTCAGCAGCTTTTCTATTGGAACTTCTCCCTTTCGGTGTGGCCTTTGCCTTGGCGAGCACTTCATGACGCCCAAGTGCTCTGGCAGCTGCTGAGAGTGATTTCACTTCAACCTCTGCCGGCATCTCGTTACTCTTCTTCTGCTTCTTTGCACGTGGTGCCTTTGCCTGGTCATTCTTCTTGTGCTCCTCATCCCCCTTGCCTGTCTCATTCTTGTCCTCCGCATCCCCCTTCCTCTCCTTAGTCCTGTTCTTTGCCAATTTGGCCTTCTCTGTCTGGTCCTCTTTCACCGCCTCTGTTGTCTTCCGCTTTACAACTTTAGCATTCTTTGCCTTCTTCTCCTTCTCCGCTTTGGCTTCATCATCTTCCTGTTCTTCTTCTTCCTCCTCCTGTGCATCCTCCTCAGCATCATCATTCTTCGATTGTTGTTTGATGCTCCTTTTGGAACCCTTTGCTACATTGTTCTTTTCCTCAGCCTCCTCCTCATCTTCTTTCTCCTTGTTCTTTGCCTTCGCGTTGTTTTTGGGCTGATCCTTTTTCAACCATTCCTTCTCTCTGGCCACCTCCTCTCCACTGTGTGCTTCCTCCTCCTCTGAATCCTCCTCATGAGTTTTGACATTCGTTTGTTGTTCCCTTTCGGAACCCTTTCGCTTTTCCTCAGGATCCTGCTTATCTTCCTTCTTCTCCCTCTTTGCCTGCTTGACTTTTCGAGGCTGGTTCTCCTTTGATCTCTCTTCTAGATGCTCCTTCTGCTTGTTCTCAGGAGTGGCCTCTGGTTTGCCAGTCCTCGGCTTCTTTGCCGCAGCATCTTTACCTTTGGCCTCGGTCTCTAGCTTCTCCTCTTCTTCTGGGACTTTCCTTTTTGACTTGTCATCCTTCACCTCTCCAACCTCTTTGCATTCTTTTGCCTTCCTTCCTTTTGTGTGCGTCTTGCTGCCAGCCTCCTCAGATTTTGCCATCGCTTTTGCAATCCTGCTTGGCTTCTCCTC